TTATATCGATATAATATTTATTATTAAATTTGTATGATTATTATAAATATTTTGTATATTCTGTTGGAGATTGATTTTCATTTTCGTATTCATGCTCGATTCTCATTCTCGAAATTATTAAAAGTACGAAGTTTATTCGTTAAAATGTTCAATTAGTTGGTGGAATAATTCTTGAAGATCTTGTCGTAACTTTTCCATAACATCGAGCAAACTTTTCTATATTCTGGAAGTGTATTAATTCTTTTCTCGGAATCGTCCGCTTTCCCGGCTATATTTTTATATCGTAGAAGTGGAAACACTCGATACCTTGGCCAGAAGTTGAAACTATAAAAATCGAGGACAGAAAACGGGGAAACAATCGAGAGTGGCAGACTCGAAGGGACGAAGGAACGAGATTTATAAGTTGAAACTTCCTCGAAACGAGTTTACGAAAGTTTTCATCGTCGAATGAAAATTACAAAGTTAAATTACGAATTTCAGTAGCCATCGCGCGGCAAAAACCGGTATATACATATGTGAAAACACCCTCTTTCCTTTTTCCTCGAACCCGAATAATTTCTGAAATAAACTTTTCTAAACCATTTCAATCGTTCTATTTCAAAACAGCTTTCCACTTATTCCAAATCTTCGGCAAAATAAAATAATTATGTACAAATATTTTTCACCCCAATCCAAAAATCGAAGTAACTTTTCAAACCCAAAATCCACTTCGATCCAAAAATAAAAATTCCATCCTTCCTCCAAACCTCTTATCCCTAACTAATTCCCTAAAAATTAATTATTCAATCATTCGAACAATACAAAGAACTCAATACAAAATTCTTAGAATAGGACTCTGTCAACATCGCTTTACGATATTAAAAAAAGAGAAAGAAAGAAAATCAATGTTTCGACATTCCTCGCCAACCCAAAAATCTCATCTCGAAACCAGGATGATTCACGTTTTCAATAATTGCAAGTTGCAAGAAATGGAGCGAGAGAAAGAGAGAGAGAGAAGGGGGAGCGAGAGATAAAGCCTGTGTCCTTACATCCCCCCTCCGTTGGTTCGACAGGTCTTAGACCCGGTTTCAACCCCGTTTCTTATCCGTATATATAGGGGAGGGCGGTTGGATTTGCGGAATCCAGGGTTGGAACACATACCTGGATAAAGGAACAGCCTGGATCCGATGACGGCCAGTGGCCGCCTCTTCCACTGAGGGAAAACCAACCCCTTCAATACCAAAGCGTGGCCGCA